ACCCGGAGGCGGTCTGTCCCTTTGCCGTTTGTTGTCGTATTTTATTTATAGAATAGAATTGTTTATTTAGATTAACATATTAATTAAAAATGGATTCACGTTAGTCACAAAAATGTTAACATCTGAAAAAGCAGAGCAAATAGTTTTCTTCTTCAAAAGAGAATAGATATTTCGCCACTTGCACTGTAAGAAAATCTACAAAATAAAAATAGTAATTTTTACTAAACACTGCTGCGTTAATCCAAAGGACTTTTTTGAAGAGATGAATGCGTCACAGAGGAATAGACATTTTTTAAATATTTTTACATTTTAACAAAAATATATATATTTTTTTAATTTTTACTCTTTAATGTTTGCATAATTAATAATAATAAGAGAGAGAGAGAGATTTGTTTTCTTTTATTTTTAATTTTATTAATACATAGTGATAAAATATTATAAGAATATTATACATATTATTAAAAACATATTATTCAGTACTTGAATACCGAGTATTGAAATTAACCTAACTTAACCTTACACTAGAAGAAAGTAGAAACCCCTTATAGGTTAAACCATAGACTTAAAATAAAATATAGACTACACTATTTACATCTCAACGCGGACAAACAACCTTTTTTGTACACATGTTTACTTCTGGGTACAGTCAACCGAGCCTTCCTCATCCAGCCTATGTTGTCACGTCTTTAATATTATCAATATTTTTTTTCTTGTTATACACATATATTGAGATATTAATACTACAGTTTAATAAAGTAGGTTTTAATATTCCATAGATGTATTAAATAGTCCTTATACTACTAAATTATAAGTTGGATACTGTTTAATAAGGATAAGTTCTTTACAATATGACAACACCGATTAGAGGCGAGGGAGCCTATTCATTCATTTATTACCTTGTAGTACGTGTCGAACGTGTGCGGTAAAGCTTTGTTGCCGCTATCTCCCCGGCTGTATTAACGCATTTTCTTAGCTTGTAGTCCTTAAGTGTTTATTTTATTGACTTTTTCTGTTCAAAAACTATAAAATATGGTTCGCCAGTGCCAAATTTGCAAGAAATTTGACTTAAATAATCCATTTAACTCTTGAAACGACTTTTGACCGGTAGGCAACTCTCAATTTATCCATTGGGAGTCAGTGGCGTTGTTGTAGAAAGGCGCTTATTTAGATAATATTTTAGTAAACTGTAAAATCTGAATGTTTTCTCTTACATTACATTATTTACTTACTTACATTGTAACAAAATCATAATTATAACCCTGTTAATAATTAATAATGTTTTTATTAAAAATATATTCCGGTTTATTCTAAAATTATCTTCAGAATCTAAAATAACATACAAGAATTTTAAAATGATATTAGATTATGAAACAATATTTTTTAATATACCGGGTCGTCTCAAAAGTGGCTCACCCCCTATAACTTTTTTATTTTTTCAGATAAAAAAAACAGATTTGTATGTTAGTAGGTATATGACATAAATTAGGATTTGTTGACGTATTCAATTGTTTTTGGTCTCTTCCTGTTTCACCGAAATGATTACATCTTTTGATTTTTAAAGGCACCCTCGGTATATTGCTACTTTATTCGATAAAAAAATGACACTCTGAATAGAATGACATATCATATGTCAACTTTTGACATTGTCGCTTAAAAACATATCCTATTTTAAATTTCAATCCAGGGTGCCATGGTGTTGTTAAAAACACTAAGTTTTAATCAAGGAGCCTTGGAAAAATAGTTTTGATCGTCTAATAGGTTTCGTGTCTTGTCTAGGCCGGTTAAAAGATGTACAAATCGTATTTTTAATCATACATATGTCAATTTTTTCAAATGGAACAAGGGTGACTCATTAGCATATTTGGAAAAAGCATTTTTTTATGAATATATTGATACCACACACTTGGTATTTCGAGTCAAATTGTCGTTATGAACCGCGTGTTACAATTACAATTAAACCATATGCGAAAATGTCAAAAGTTGACATATTACATATCAGTCTATTCAGAGTGTCATTTTCTATCGAATAAAGTAGAAATATACCGAGGGTGCCGTTTAAAAATTAAAAGTTATAGTCATTTCCGGTGAAACAGGAAGTGACCAAAAACAATTGAATGCGTCAATCAATCCTAATTTATGTCATATACTAACATGCTAAATCTTGTTTTTTTATTTGAAAATATAAAAAAATTATGGGGATGAGCCACTTTTGGGACGCACCCGGTATAATAAAGACAGTACCGAGTTAAATAAATGTAGTTTTCATTTTATCCACTTCCTATCATCTTCCTTGCTTTAATGGAACAGAATTATGTTTTCTCTAATTTACATAAGACATCACTTAACCAGAAAAAAAATTACAACAATCATATTTTTTTTTCTCTCCCTGTCGCCAATTCTATTATATCTGTGGAATAGATGCTGTTTTGATTAATATTAGGGGTTGTAAATGTTTGACTAAAATTAATAATTTATTATTAATTTCAAAAATTACGTAATTTCGATTATAAAATTCCTTCTATAACGTGTATTTTATTATTTTTATCCTTTTTGGACTCTAAGACATTTTTTCTAAACTTATATTTAAAAAACCTGTCCTAAATCTTAATAAAATATAAAAAAGTTTAAATACGATATATTCTTAATTTAATTATAGCTTCATTAAAATAAAAAAATTACCCGGCTATGAGACGGAGAGTTTAGGTGTACTTGAAAAACGAAAGACAGTGTTGTGTTTCTCGGCAGAGTCGTCAGGGAACGACCGTTACGACAGAGACAACCTAACTATCGCTCGTGTCGCACTCGTTATAACCTAAAACAATAACACAACAATAACAAGACATTGTCTGACCGCATGTTCCAGCTATTTATGAATGAGATGCTCAGTCTATATTTTATTTTAAGTCTATGGGTTAAACCGAGCATGCAACGAAGATCGCCGCGCATAATAAGTAACGAAGTTCCACGTCAAGCCTAAGTCTTCCAACCTGTACACAAAACAACGATTATAAAGTAACGATACTAAGTACCAAAGTAACGAATAACTAAAGTAACTAAAGTAACGAGTCCTGTTACCAAAAGTAACTAGTAGTTACGAGTTCATGAAAGTAACTAAAGTTTACATAACTAAACTTCTTTCAACGGTAAAATACGAGAGAAAAATCAGTGTGTGGTTTTGATATAAATGTACTGTGGAAAATGGCATATGATATATAAAACCGCGAATATTTACAAAACCGCTAAAAACTTTGAAATACTTACTCTAAATACAAAAAATTTTCATTTTTTAATTCTCCATCTATTGAAAAAATAATATACAGTTAAAAAAAAACGAAGAAAATTTATTTTATATTTTAGAAAATTTGGCGTAGGGTTTTGAACATACTGTATGATTTACTAACTATAGAAATATATTTATTCATATCTAAGGATTATGTAAAGTGATCTAAAAGAAAGTCAAATAGGCAATAACATACAGGGTGTTCACACTTTTTTGAGCCATCCTATAGAAGTTAAAATAGTTTCCTGAAATACATCTTAATATAATCTAGTAAAATTGTATCGCCGTATACAGAGTGAAAAAAAAATACGGGCAAGCTGATTTTTTCAGAGTTTGTCAGCGACAGTCTTCTGAGAAATCGGAAATTTTCCCCTTGCGGTTTTTGAGCAATAGGGGTGTTTTTTTTAAAACTGTACTATAACAAAATAATTAGACGCAAATTGTACATAAGAACACTCTATAGGTTTGCCTAATACATTTTTTTTGTAAGTTTATTACTTCCGGACTTAGCGGCCGTTTCATGAGCCCCTTGGGGTGGTTTTCAAAAAGTTTGTTTTACAGCAAATTGACCCATATGAAAGTTGTTCATAATAAATGGACAAGCAACTTTTCCTCAATATTTTTTTTTGTAACTTGATTATTTTTGGAGATAGCGTCCAGTTCATGAACAAATTAGAGTAGTTTTCAATGTTACTCTTTTTTCAGCAAATTCACCCTAGGAAACTCGTTCAAAATAAGAGTACATATACCTTTGCCTTATGATTTTTTTTTGTAACTTAACTATTTTTGGAGATAGCGCCCAGATCATGAACAAGTGGTGGTAGCTTTAGATGTCTTTTTTTCAGGAAATTGTGCTGAAAAAAGTGCTATTGGAAAATGGATTCGTGTTTTATTTGCTCATTCACTTGATGAATTCCAGGTTTTGTTTTGGGGAAATAAATACATATCATAGGGAAGTTTGCATGTTTTTAATATGAACACCTTTAAGTTGGTAAATTTGTAGAACTAAACAAAAATTATGAAACTACCCCAATTTGTTCATGAACTGGACGCTATCTCCAAAAATAATGAAGCTACAAAAAAAATCATGAGGCAAAGTTGCTTGTTCATTTATTACGAACAACTTTCTTACGGGTCAATTTGCTGTATAACAAACTTTTTGAAAACCACCCCTAAGGGGTCATGAAACGGCCGCAAAAATCCCGAAATAATAAACTTATAAAAAAAATCATTAGGCGAACATATAGAGAATGTTCTTATGTACAATTTGCGTCTAATTATTTTGTTTTAGTACAGTTTTAAAAAAAAATCCCTGAGCTACAGATACCCGACGCTCAATTGCCGGACCCTCTATAAAATATCATATTTCAGTCAATATGATTATTAAATATCTAACTTCAATTTGTGTTTACAGATTGGTAAACATTCCAGAAAATAAATCATTTTTAAGCTTGTCGTTTTTAAAATTCTGAAATGTTTCGGATAATTTCCAGATGTAAAGACAAAGAAGAGAAGGAATAATCTTCAATTAAGATCAGGGAATTTAATGAGGAGTGTTCCCTCTCTTGTTGAACCATGAAAAATGAAATTTAATGATCCAACTTTGTGGAAATAAAATAAATTATTCTTTCGATAATTTTTCTTTCTTTACGTCACTCTAAGTGAAAATATACGACAAAATCGAAGAGAGGATTTAATACTTTTTATATTTTTTTTTCAGAAAGAAGAATCGTAAAGGAGAATGAAAGGAGTCCTTAAGAAGGATATCACAGCGGACCAACACACAGGTGAGTATTTGTGACATTTATACAGGGTCGTCCATTAGTGCAATAGCGTTGTCGTAGACAAAAATATGAACAAAAGTTCTATATCAATACCAGGTGCGTCTGAAAAGTAGCTCATCCCTATAAGTTTTTTTATATTTTCAGATAGAAAAACGAGATTTTGTACATTAGTATATGACATAAATTAGGACTGCTTGACGTATTCAATTGTTTGGGTCACTTCCTGTTTCACCGGAAATGACTACATATTTTGGTTTTAAATGGCACCCTTGGTATATTTCTATACTTTTGACATTTCCGCATAAGGTTTATTTGAAATTGTAACATGCGGTTCATAACAACAATTTGACTCGAAATGCCAAGTGTGTGGTATCAAATTATTCGTAAAAAATATTAATTTATACTAATGAACCACCCTTGTTCTATTTGAAAAAATAACTATGTGATTAAAAATACAATTTGGGAATCTTATAACCGTCCAAGAAAATACACAAAAAACATTAAACGATTAAAAATCTCGAGAGAAATTTAAAATACGATAAAGTTGAAGCTGATAAAGTTGCGAGTTTTTTAAATTTCAATTTATACAGAATATTTTTTATTACGCGGCCGACATTGCAATATTTCTTAATGGATTATTACAATGTTTTAAAGTAAAGTAAAGATTTCAGTTAACGTCTCCTTTTTGCGGTCAGGGCTAATCTGGACGGGGCCTACTTTGTTTACGCGGAATCCGAACCGCGGTCCTCGGATATATCATGGTCAATGGCCTACCGACTTGGCAAGTATCTAAATCGACTCTTACTCACGAGATATCCGATCTCATCCGGCCTCAAACCGGCGTGAATGAGCAGTGTGTGTCAATAGAATTTACACTTTTGCCTTTGGACAATAGCACGATACAGAGTTTTGAACCGGTCACCCGTCCATCCACGTATCGCCTTACATCGCTTAACTTCGGTGTTCTAATGGGAACCTATGGGGTATTTGACACAGATAGTTGATCGAATTTTTTTTTATGTAGACCTTATATAAATTATTGCTATTTTCAATTAAAGAGAAAATAATATGAACAAAATAAAGGATAATTCGTCGATTCTAAAAAAAAGAAAGAAAAATCACTGTTACAGTGTTTCCACGATTAATGCCACTAATGCCAGTAGTAATATCGCAACTAATACTACTAATGCTACGACTGATCCGCGAGCAATACCCATACCACTAAAGTCGCTACTAATGTCAAATTGTGCTATACAGCTAATGGCACTAATGCGATCGCTTTGTACACAACAATGACATCGCGGTTTACACCTCGCATTAGTATATCACTGATTGGCAAATTAGAGGAAACCAAGAATGTTTTTCTCATTTTATCAGCAAAGTTGCAAAAAGTCGCAGTGTTTTATTTTACTGTATGAAAGCCCAATGTTTACTAAGTAAAACAATATGCTGAATTCTTCGAAATGTGAACCAAACAAATAATAATATAAACGTAAAAAGAGCACAAGAACAACAACAATTTATAATTTTAAACATAAAATTTAGCCATTTGCCTCTTATCTGTGAGACGTAACAACTTTGACGTTTCGTTGAAACAAACGAATGCAACTAAACACACCCATAGCAACGCCATTCATGGCAGACATGATTTAACTTATCATTTATCTTTTTTTGGGAAATCTTAAACACATTTGCTTTTTCGAATTTCGATCGCCTTTTTCATGCTAATACCCCACCGTGCGGCGTTTCGACGTATCTGGGCCGTTGCCCTCAATGTTTTAAATGCAACACCCTGTATATTATATTTATTTTAGATGGCCAATTAAAAAATTGATCATTTTTTGTATTTAGAATATTCCTAAATTTTTAACGGTTTTGTAAATACTCGCGGTATTATATTAGGTACATAATATGGCTCTTTCAACAGTAAAATATAAGGCAAAAAATCGTGAGGTGGCTTAGACAAAAATTCTTTATAAATTTACAGTTAACTGCAAACAAGGGGCATTCTTACATTTTTATATGAATCAAAAAGTATATTTTCTAGTTCTGTTTATATTTTGAAAAAAGTCCTTTTAATGAGCTCTAATTATTTATTTACACTCTGCCTATACAAAGAAAACTTTTTATTTCGAAAAACTTTTCCTTTAAAAACGAGAGACAATGCCCCTTTTATATGGCTTTCCTTTGGCTGAAGAACAATTTAACATTTCTTGTCGCAGAAACTCAGTTGAAAGCTGTACACAGAAAACTTTCGCTGGAATATAAATTGCTTGATTTAAAACGAACAGGCTTAAAAGGGATTATATGTCAACATGAGAAAAATACTTGATTTATTATATTCGTTAATGTGTACATTGTTGTGCCATGGACATGTCGACCTAAACTGACCGTTGTTTATCAAGTGTTAACTAATCTAAGTCCTATCTAAAACCAGAGACAGTTACCAAGCATCTCTTATTGCTGAACTAACCAATATTAAAACCAATTTACTTCAGAACGGTAATTCTGAAATGTCCCTGAAGCAAGATTAGGGACACGGCACCATATTCTTCAGATAAAAGTAAGTAAAAGAGTTCTTATAAATGTATCTCCTAAAAATAATTAGTTTTGGAGATACAGGGTGGTAAATGTTTCATATTTATTTCGATTTTTTCCAAATAATTTAGTAAATATATATTTTTTTTTTAATTTTCCAAATAATTTCTGAAAAAATATACATTGACGACATTTTTTACGTAAAAAAGAGATATTTGGAATTGAAATTAAATACCTGTCATCATTGACATAAATTATTCATGCTGACTAAATAGTTATTAGACTGAAATCATAAATTTGAAATGTTTTTGTGCCAAAAGTTTAACAGAAACAACATTGTAACGATGTTACTTAATTTTTGTGATAATTAATTTGTAGTGATTAAATTAATTAGCTTTTAATTATCAAATATTTATAAAATCTTTCTAGAAAGTGCTCACCCGACTACTCTCCGTAAAATCCTGCCATCCTGTCTTGCGCAGTGTCTGTTCTAGTGTAGTGCTACGCCACGTTGTTCATCAAGTAAAACTTGTCGTTTGAAAACTTTCCTTTCAGTTTTCCTCGCTCAATCACGTGAACGTGTGTCTTAGCCAGCGCCTTCGGAAAAGCGGTGAGCGGCTTTACATTAAATTTGTGAATGGCCGTTCTCTGCCTTTCAAAAGGTGGCTGACTATGAAGAGCAGTAGGTAGCGTCCTCTGGTCAGTATTTTCACAAGTACTGTCGGGAGGCGCTTCCTGTGCCTAATCCATTCGTGATTGAAGGGAAAGCGTGAAAAACCTACAATTTTGACCGTGGGGTGCTGTTTTCACGTACGGTTGGATTGTGGGCTAGTGAACAAACGAAAGACAAGTTTCTTCTCCGGGTTAAGATAGGGTTTAACTAGTAACTTTTTGATTTTGCGATCTTGCCACGCCTGCGCTACCCGACAGCCGTCAGGAGGCCGCCTGCCGTCTTCGTCCCGGTGCGCATACGATGCCCGATTTTCTTTTAGAAAGTTACAAGACACTGCGTAGCTAATTGAAGCGCTGTGTTGGGGCCAGACGACTTTCGAAAGTCATCCTAACTTTCGAAAGTTAATACATGCGCAGTGCATTCTCCGGCCGCAAATACTAGGGTGAGCCATCCAGCCATCGCCTCCATTTCAGGGCCGCGCCTGCGCCCTTGGTTGGAAAATAGGAAGTCTTGCGCTTGCGCAGAATCTTACTCCGCGCCATTTTGCGCGAAACCTCTGAGCCAAGACTTTACCATGCTTCTCAGTCAGTTTGAGTTTAATAAAGATTGTTTATATTATTTTAATTGAAACTGATTGTTTTATTTTGACTTTACCTGCACCCCTTCATACCTGGAGTCTCCACTGTTTAAAGGCTACCCGTACTGGCAAACGTGGACCTCTACCACTATAAATAACAAAGGTGGCGCCTGAGAGATCTAGATTTACCACTGTGCGTCAATAAGGCTATTTTTCACAGAGCTAAAGAAATAGCCTTACAACATTTATTCGTAGAAAAAAAATATGATTAATTTAAAAAAATAAAAATTTCCGCAAATTTATTATTTCAGTCAAATAACTATCTACTCAATTTTTTACTTAAAAAGTCACGGAATGTATATTTTTCTACTCAGTAGTTCTATACAGGTACGGACGAAAAGTTATTACTCTTCAAAACAGTTAAAACACATGTAGGTGGCGCCCCCTACAAAAGGAGTCATATTAACATCAAAACCAAATTTCTCATATCAAAAAACTTCCAGACACCAATTTTCATCCAAATATTGACGTTACTTCAGAAATTATTTGAAAAAAAAATCGAAATAAAATTAAAATTTCTACGCCCTGTATTTGCGAAACTAAGCATTTTAAGACATACATGTATAAACTTTTAAACTACTTTTTATATATTTTACTGCCGAAGTTTCCTGAATACAGTACGGACCACCCTGTATATTTTTGTTCAATTTAACCACCACCAAAAAAATATCAATTTTATTAATAGCAATAAATCATAATCAAATCAAAAACTATTACTGAATAAAAAGCTAAGAACAAATATTAAATAAACGTAAAATTAAAACAAGGAAATGTGTATCCTATCCCATTATATTACGATTTTTTTATCAATATCAACTTTACCATATTTAAAAAAAAATAGTTTGAAAAAAGCAGAAAATTAGCGCTTATGAACACGATGACAGGATTTTAAAAATTTACTTTAAAAAAAGTAAAAAAAAGAAGGATTTTGAAAAATTTATCTTCTTCTTAAGGTGCCGTGCAGATTCCTGCGTAGGCGTTCATCTTTTTCTTCCTCATCAGATGGTTCTGTTAACTGCCGCGACTTGGAGTGCTTGGAAGTCCTGTATGCCTGTCCAATGACGAATATTTCTCAGCCAGGATAGCTTCCTTCGTCCTATTCCCCTTTTGCCCCCCTCTATTTTACCCTGGAGAATCAGACGCTGAAAGTGATAG